AGGCTGATCACGGAAATGTTTTTTAAAAGCCTGATTATCTTCCCAAACTGCATCAGCCTTCCAAAGTTGGGCAAATGTGATGTCTGACACATACTTGAGTGAAACCCCATTAGACCAGTTAAACAATGGAAAGCTTGATTTGGTTTTGTGTCAGTTGTGACCTTTCAGAGTGGGTAATTCTGACGTTTGATTAGAGCACATTCATCCAGCCAATTAGTATAGTTTCAGGTAGGAAAAAAAGCAGTGGAAAAGTGCATTATCCCTTTAAATTTGAATCCGTTATTAAATCTGCTGTTGAAGACCATGTCAGTTGATTGAAAGCTCCAGAACAGCAACTAAATAGACTTTGTTGTGAAGGTCAAGAATCAGCTTTTAAGCTAACGTGGACCTTAAAGACCTTAAAGTGTTCAGAAAAAGTTTGAAATTTGAACACCTGCATGACATCTGTGCAAACTCCATTTGCCGTTGAGAATCATGTCATGTGAGCAAAAGCTCCAGAACACCTACTAAATGGACCTCATGGTGAGATTGTTTTCTCTGCAAGTGATTAAACAGATTTTGACCTTCCTATGTTAACATGACATACACAGTTTTTCCTGTTGCACTTATAAGCAGAACTGTCCTTTTCTATAACATTTAACGTACAGCCTCGAGGGTTGCCTTGTGAAATAGGCCCTCTGAGGCCTCTACATTGCAAGAGGATCCCCTCACATGTTTTGTTTTGCAGATGAGTGTGGAAAGGGTGTGCAGAGCTTTGATTGAAGCCCATTTAAATGACACCACTTGTTGGGCTGCATCAGTAATCCCCCCGCTGTGTGTCTGTCACGGGTCAGGCCAGAAATGAATAATGTATTGGAAGACATCTGACTGAGAGGCTGGTTAAAGGTGGCACTCCCTCTAATGACAGCAAACAAGCTCTCTCCCTGACATTTCCAAGGAGAGGGGGGAGTTGGAGAGTAAAGGGGTGAGGGAGATAATGACAGACAAAGGTGGAGGGAGTTGGATGCGGTCTTTAAACGCAGTTTGTTTGGCTACAGTATGTGATGAAATGTGACAAGATGGCTTCGTCTTTTGTTGCAAATTGTGACAGACAAATCATCTGCATAGTTCCTACAGCCAGTTGCTGTTGGATTAAAAAGTTAAAAAGCGACAGTCTAGATGAAAATAATTAAAACCCTTCTTTAATTCAGGAGACTACAGGCAAACTTTTAGAATAGGCGTATTCCTATGTTTTCACTGTAGAAAGATACTACTGCTAATAATAATATTCAGTCTGAGCACACGATTATACATTATGAGCAGTAAGCACAGTGATTATATCTTGTAGAGAAAACAAAATAACAGAAATATATTTGATTTTTGAATATTCCACAATTTCAGCCAATCAGAGAATGAAGTAGGTAATTTCTAAATGCCTCTTTTGTCTCCAATCTGATTGCTAGTAGCATAGCTGATTACTTTCAGAACAGTAAGCAGGCATAGTTTACCTGTATGAAACTTGAAAATAACTTACTTAATTGTTTCCAGGCAAATGAATAACACAGTGTGGGACAAATTATCATGATGGGCTTATGTGGGTGATAGAAATCGTGCAAGAGCACAGAACTGATTTTTGTTTCCTCAAAAGTAAATGATTCTTTTTTTTTTTTTTTTTTTTTTTTTAAAGTGTGCATGCAAAAAAAATATATTATTAAAAAACATTATTTGGGAACTCTTTTCTGGGTCCTGTCTTGCAGGTGCATGTGGCGAACATCATTATTTTGCATTTCATATCCCTAGGATAAAATGTTCAGACCAAATAATCATGGCCCTGACATTGTAATCCTGAAGAGGTAGAAGAATAAGGGGTTAATGTGATCACACAGTTGTTTTGTTTAAAGAAATATGAACCAAATCTACAACTTACAACATGGGATGGAAAAACACCGTAAACACCTAAAACCTTAAAAAATATTGTTGGGTCCTTTATTTTGACCCTAAGCTATGGATTGTTTTGAATCAGTTGATGTTCATCCTGTTGAATTGAATCTTTGACTGCACTGTCCTATTTGACTCCCAGAAAAAGTAGCCGATCGTTATCGCTAAAGGAGCATAACTTCCAGTCTGCAACTTATACTTGATCTGATTAGGGCTGCAGCATTTTGCCCTTGGGCGATGTCTGTAGCCTTGCACAGGGAGAGATAACCCGATCTCCACTCCTCTCTGGCTCTGAGTCCAATTTAGCAGCTCAAAACTATGAATAAATCTAACACTCCATAATTGAATTCTTCAAGGTTGGGCCCAAATGCAAATCCATTTTCCAGCCTTAACAATGAAAAGTAATTTTCATTAATCTTAAAGAGAGAATATGTTGGGCAGCAGGGAAAGGCAAAGAACAGTTTTTAATGTAAAGAACAATGAACAGTCTTTGTAGTGTGATTCATACTCGTTTATTACAGAGCTTTACATAAATGCCATAATGGTTATTGTCCCAAAATTAATTAATAATTGAATCTCTTGCCATTTTTCTTTATTGTACGTGTCCCCTCTCTTGTTCTGCACCTGTAACTGTAAAAATAAGAGATGTACAGATGTAATTATTGCTCACAGCTCTATCATCTCCATCAACATCTTAGCCAAAACAAGGCTCTTATCAATACTGGTCCTATTCTGCCTATTGATGCCTAGAATGATAAGTCCCACTAATTGTTTGGAGGGTTGGTTAGTATTTATTCGGCGTGGTTTCCCTAATTATTTCTCCCGACATGTTTTGTCTTGTGCATAATTTTCCGTTCCTCGGGGACAGTGTTAGTGAGTGGGTGTGCTGAAAGAGCCAGCTAATGGGAAGGAGATGGCACTGAATACCAATGCTCAGACCAGTCAGTCCTCACAGAGACCAGACACTGTGTGTGCGTGTGTGTGTGCATGTGTGTGCATGCGTGTATGTGTGCATGTGTGTGCATGCGTGTGTGTCCCCGCACGCGTGCGTATTTGTATTTTTTCTGTGCGTCATTGCACATCACACACATGCGTGTTGAGTGTGTGGGTGTGTGTTTGCTCTGTTTGCTGCTCTGTCCCCACTCACATCCCGTCTGGATCGAAACCCTGCCCTTCCTGTGCTAAAATAAACCCACCTTGGGAAGTTGAGGACCTTGCACAGAGCGCTGAGTGTTACACCTTTTGATTTTCCTCTGACTCGTATCGTGCAGCCTACATGCAGTCTGTGACTTTGTGCAGTACACTAAAAAATGAATATATTATACAAACTTAATGACATTAATTTTGAATTTATTTCGACACTATTTGTGCCTCTTTTGACAAAAAACAAATGAACCAACCAAAAAGAAAGAAACTTAGCTTTTTTCTCAAGCTCCATCTACATATGAAGATGTAATTAAAAGCCTTAAAAAGGCTTGTAAGTAGAACTCATTAGGATTGTTTTTTTGTCAAACTTTTGTTTATTTTAATGTTTATTTTTAAAGGAACAAATACATAGCATTTACCAGTGCCAAATACCACAGCATTTATAGCCTCAGATAGTTTGCATCCCTCCCTAGATGGGCTTTTATGCACATTTGCACAGCTCAACAGCAACACCAAAAATACACAAAAAAGATGCCATAAAAACCTAATGACCCATGGCTACACTTCTGATCCCTCTTCAAACACCGTTTCGCCTTAATGATCCCATTCATGATCCATTTTGAATTCTCAACTCTGTGGGTAAGGACATATTGATCTGAGTAAAAGGTTCCACATTGATTCACCCCAAGTTACTTTTCCTGTTTTTACAAGATCCTTTTCATGTTATTAGGACATATTTTCTCTAGATACCAAATTATCCAGTTTTTACACATGATAAGTTGGTAGGCCCCCGTGTCAAGAAACTTCCATATGGTGTTAAAATGAGAAGATTGAGAGATTGTCACTTACATCGGCTAGAAGAAGACTGCAATGTTCGGTTTTATTTGCTATTTATCCTGAGCAGGGTGACTGGAGCCTGTCCCAGTGCAACAGGGTGGGTAAACGCTGTACAGATTACCAATCTACCACAGTGCTGACACGGACAGACGTACAATCATACTCTCATCCACAGGCAATGTTTAGAGGGTTACTAGTTAAATGTGTTATTGGGGTAGGCAGGTCTTGGATAGGGGTTTGCACATTGGTGTTGATGAGGGAGGGAGAGGCGCTATTCTGAAACCACATTAAAGTGCACCATCATCCCTAATGTCAGTTGCTGACCAGAGTCACAGCCCAGTCACCGACTCACCGACACCAAATACACATGTAATGATACACCTGGCTACAGGTCTAGATCCAATGTTTATCAATCATGGTATATGATTGCCCGGTTCAGGCAGCTGGTAAGGATACCCGCTGGGCGCCTCCCTAGGGAGGTGTTCCAGGCATGTCCAGCTGGGAGGAGGCCTCGGGGAAGACCCTGGACTAGGTGGAGATATTTTATCTCTACACTGGCTTGGGAATGTCTCAGGATCCCCCAGTCAGAGCTGGCTAATGTGGCTCGGGAAAGGGAAGTTTGGGATTCCCTGCCCCCGTGACTCGACCCCGGATAAGTGGTTATTGATGATGATGGTGATGATGATCATTCTGGTATATGATTGCTCAATAGGCTACAGTGTCTCGGCAGGAAATCATGCATCTTATTCTTGTTTTAACACCCTGTCGAAGTTTCTTGACATAATAACATACCAACTTATCAAGTTATTATGAGACAAGTTTGTTATAACAAAATACCTTGTTTTTTTGTGAAAGAAAACGAGAATGTAAAGATAAAGTCACATGTTGTTAACAGGAAATGTTTGATGTAAAAACTGAATAATATGGTATCTAGATTTAACAAGAAAAATGTCTCGTTATGACAAAAAACTGTCATCAATATTAATTAATTAATTGGCTTCTTGTCCCCGAAACATTTCACTAAGTGATAATAAGGTCCCTTCCAACCTAACCTATTTCTCTCTTTTCCCCTCCCATCACGTTTCTTTCACCATCTCCAGCTCATAGTGGAGAAGACAACAGACTTCCCCTCTGCTGAGTTCTCTCTGGTAGAGGATGTGGCTCTGCACTTCACCTGTTTGATGGACAGGCTGAACGAGCAGCGCCTCTTCCAGCCTGACCTGTGTGACGTCGACATCGTTCTGGTGCGTCAGCACAGCACCTTCCCGGCCCACAAGGGCGTGCTGGCGGCCTACAGCCCTTTCTTCCACTCTCTTTTTGCCCAAAGCAAACAGCTGCGGCGGGTGGACCTGTCACTGGATGCACTGACCTCACAGGGCCTGCAGCAAATCCTCAACTTCATTTACACCTCCAAACTCCTGGTGAGCAGCCGTACTGTCCGCGACGTGCTCAACGCCGCTACCCTGCTTCAGATGAGCGACATTGCGGCCTCCTGTCGCGACCTCATCAGTAGCCACTCGCTGAGAACCACCTGCGCAGATATGGCCAGTCAGGAAGGCCTGGGTGGCGGTGATCCAGCTGCTGTAGCGATACCCCCATGCCAACTGTACCCGGAGATCAAACAGGAGTCAGAGCTTGGGAGGGTGTACAAGAGGGAAGGCAGCAGCCCGTTCTCTATTAGAGTGGAGGAGGCAGGCAAGACGGCCTCCCAGCAGAAGCAGTCTTTGTGCAAAGCTGAGAGCAATGGAGAGGAGTCAAAGACAGCAGATGGCCACATCTCCTTCAACAGAGACCAGATCATTGTTGAAGTTAACCTTAACAACCAGACCCTTAATGTGTCAAAGGGATCCGAAGGCAAATCGGCGACCGCCACAGAGACAGCCACCATCTTTGGTCATTGCCATGACAACGAGAGAGATTCAGAAGACGATGAGGAGAATGAGGCGGATAATGACGACACAGTTGGAGAAGAAGATGACGATGACCTGAAGAGCACGGACATCCTTGGGCAGAGCAGTGAGGAGGACGATGAGGAGGAAGATGAGGAAGAGGAGGAGAACACCCTAAACATTCCAGGCTTGGAGCAGCCGGTCTTGATGGATCGACCTCGCAGGGGCACCAGAGCCTTTGCCATGGTGGGTACAACTGCATCCATGCGGCAGACACTGACAGAGGGCACGCTGGCCAATCAGCGGCAGGGCGGGAAGAGGACGCTGGATGCGGAGGGCCTGGGCCAGAAAGTGAGGCTGGAGGAGAAGCAACATTTCCCGTGCAAAAAATGCCCCCGTGTCTTTAACAACCGCTGGTACCTGGAAAAACACATGAACGTCACTCACAACCGCATGCAGATCTGCAATAACTGTGGGAAACGCTTCCTGCTGGAGAGCGAGCTGCTGCTGCACCAGCAGACTGACTGTGAGAAGAGCATCCAGGTATGATTACCTGATTATGGTGAAAGACATCCCCCTCACTTTTAGCAAAAGTAGTTAATTTCAATAGTATATAAATCAGTGGAGCGTGGGGACAAAGGAAATCCAGGCACATTTTTCATGTTGAGTTCAACTTGGGTGAAATTCGACATGCAAAATTTGCGTTGTTGACCAATAGGAAGCCATTGTGCCAGATTTTCCAAAATGGAGGGAACTATTGTATTTTATTAGCTGTGTTGCACCATGCACTTTTATTTAACCCTCCTCTGTCAGAATATAAACTGCTCCACAAAGGAGGAATGGTTTGCAGACAGTTATATGTCTTTTGAATAAACTGTACAAACTTGTTGTCTTGTTAGCAACCAAGCTTGCTAAATAAACTAGTTAGCCAATTAGCAAACTTATAATTAGCTTGGAGATTTTTTCCCCCTCTTCAGTAAAACTCCTATATTATGTACCATCCTGAGGGCAAAATACCAGCTGGTCAAGAGTAAACAGTCCATTACAGAGAAAACAGAAGAAGAAGCTTGGGGAGCTATTGTGACTGACTATCGTTAGCATGTTCCTGGCTGGCCAGCACCAGCTACTGGCCAGCTGTTATTAGCAGGATGAAAGAAGCGTGTTCAAGCTAGAAGAAAGAGTTCATAAAAATTCTGACACACTCATCTGGGGCACCTTTTACTGTCAACATGTGCGTCATGAGCAGCAGCAAATTATTTGGCCCTAATTTCTGCTCTCGGTGTCGCCTTCCAGGCTACATACAGGCTGCTCCAAGACCCTGGTCAATGGAGCTAGTTGGGGCTGTGTGCAGCTTGATACAAAGCTCTGCAGACACTTCTCTGGGCTGAAGAAAATCATTACACCCTTCCTCTGCATGTTCTAGAGGAAAATCATTGAATTTATGTTTTGAGAGGTGGAATAATAATAATAATAATAATAATTTCCAGCAGAAGATGGTTAAATTAAACATCAGGGGCAGAATAGTACTTTTGATACCAGAATTGATATTTGGTTAAAAATGCCAGTCAACATCATCTATTATCAACAGTAAAGCCAGTGAAACTTAATCTGATTTTATTGTAGTATTTTCAGCTTTTTTATAATTTTTGCACAAATGCAACCATGTAAATATATTAAAACAGACTCAGTAACTCAGTCAACTAGTAGTCGGTAATAATAAATTCTGACTACCTCTACAACTCTGCAGTGAGCAGCTGGACTCCTGCTGTGGTTTTGAAGATCATTTGCTGCTTTAATCTAATGACTCTAATTGCTTTTGGTGGTACAGTGCATGCTCAAGTATCTGTGTGGGCTCACACACCTGGATTGTATTTGTAAAGATTGTTCCAGATAATAATCTTCTTAATATCTCATACCCAAACAGCTCCAGTAATAACTATATTTTGCCTTCCCCGCTCTTCTGTTTTTGTTTGTTGTTTGGCCAAGTGTGTGACATGTGGCAAAGCTTTCAAAAAGCTGTGGTCGTTACACGAGCATAACAAGATCGTCCACGGCTACGCTGAGAAGAAGTTCTCCTGCGAGATCTGTGAGAAGAAGTTTTACACCATGGCTCACGTCAGGAAGCATATGGTCGGTGAGTGGCAGTGAAATCAACAATCCTGGTTGGTCGCTTTGTTCCCATTTGTTACTTTAGGCTTTCTTTTCTACATCACACTGATTGTTGAGTAGGATTTGTTTTGGGTGTTGCTTTCCTCTTCCACTTTTTTGGTAGATAAGCATCATATTCCCCAGACGGGCTTACCTCATTTCCTGTCTACATGTGTGACTCAGCTGTAAAAGAAGGGTTGTACCATATTTCATTGAGTTGGATTTATCCTTCCTACTTAAGGAGTTTGAAATGGAAACTTCAGAGGAAAAATATTATTTAATAGATCAGACACATCCATTGTCCTCAGCATCATAATTAGCAAATGAAAAAGCAAGTGTTCTTAAAGTGCTATTTTAAGGTATCAATATTGAATACTATAAAGTTATACCATTAACGTGTGTGTGTGTGTGTGTGTGTGTGTGTGTATTTAGCCCATACGAAGGACATGCCGTTCACCTGTGAGACATGCGGGAAGTCATTCAAGCGCAGCATGTCCCTGAAGGTTCACTCTCTGCAGCACTCAGGAGAGAAACCCTTCAAGTGTGAGGTTTGAGCTCCTTTTATACGCTGCTGCTGCTCTCCATTTCACTCACAAGAAGAGTTATATTCCGACTGCGATATCCACCAGTTGAAAACCTGTAATTTCTGAAATTATTGGTGTCTAGAATGTAATTTACATCTCTTTATGGCCTATGCTTCTAAAACATATGCATGTTAAATCGAGGTCAAAGAATGCGGATGAGGCAAGGATCCAGATGTGCCGATCCAAACAGATAAAAGAGAAATCATTATCATTATCAAATCATCTTTAGACACATGAAACCCCATAAGAAGTTAAACTGTTGTTTGGTCTATAAGTTTTTCTTTCTGGCATCATTCTTATATAACACCACACTCTTAAATAAATAGCCCCTCTCCCTTTCTGAATGTGATTCCAAGTTTTGCTGCATTCATGTGGTGTGGGAATATTTGATAGAATTATTTAACCGCTTAAAGGAATAGTTTGACATTTTGGGAAACAGGCTTATCCACTTTCTAGCAGAGTTTTAGATGAGAAGATTGAAACCACTCTTATGTCTGTACAGTATGTATAGCCAGGAGAGGGTTAGCTTAGCTTAGCTTAAGACTGGAAACAGGGGGGAACAACTAGCCTGGGCCTAGTTAAGTTACCTGTTGCTGGCTTCACACTTACAGTACAGTCATGATAGTGGCATCGATCTTTCCATCTAACTCTCGACACAAAAGCAAATATTTACCTGAATGTCGAACTATTCCTTTAAAGTAAAGACTTTGATATATCTTGTGTTTTCCAACAATTTAATTTTTGAAACACTATAATCAGATTTTCTGAAGCGTTGGGCTTCCTGCAAAATTGGACCTATTCTCATATTTAAAGTCTCATAACGTAACATGTGTAATACCAATAATGCAGTTTATATTTCACATTGAATAGTTTGGATTTTTAATCCATCTGTGTTTTACAGAAAGTTTCTCACAGCTGAAATTTGGGTTTTTACTTTTATGGATCAGTTTCATTTAGCATGGCATTTTCCTTCTGAAAGGCACTGGAATAATAGCCATCAAGTACTGTTTTTGTGACTGCCAATTATCAGACTATTTATGATCATTAAGACTTTTGTGTAAAAAATATTCACTGTGTGTCATTTCAGAACTGCAGTGAACGCTTCCAGTACAAATACCAGCTGCGTTCCCACATGAGCATCCACATCGGACACAAGCAGTTCATGTGCCAGTGGTGCGGAAAGGACTTCAACATGAAACAGTACTTTGACGAACACATGAAGACACACACTGGTGAGTCACTTCTTGCATTACTTCTGAGGATTTTCAGGAGTGTTCAGGAGGAGTTCAGGAGGAGTGTTGCTGACAGAAGAATGTGTGATTTTAAACCAGCTGATCGTTCTTTCTGGCTGGATGAAGTTTGACGCTCCTGATTGTATGCATGGATCCATGATGATAGAGAAATATAGAAATGAATGGCAATGAAACATGCTGTCAATATTTTAGAGACCCCCCAAAATATCACAAATCATGCTTTTAGGGGAGCTGATGTCTTATCAAGGGGAGCCAAGCTCCCCCTGGCTCCCCCGTAGTTTGTACCTCGGACATCCCTCCTGCAAGAAAGCAAATCGTCTGCTTTTTAACAGCCGAGCCAGGAATGATATTAAGCCAACCGTGTCGTTACACGTAAGTGCACAGTTGAGGTTTGCAATGGTTTCATATGTTGTGGTGGCAGAGAGGTGCAAAATACGCCAGATATTATAAGCAGTACTTATGTTAGAAAATACCAGGGTGCTCAGGGAGCAGTAAATGATGTCTGTGTCATGAAACCATGCACATGCATAGTAGAAGTATAACCTGGTGAGTGTTGCATAACTACTATGTTTTAATAAATTTATAAGAATGAATACAAAATTATGAATTTTAATATGCAGAGAATATTCATTCATAAAGCTCTCGTTTTGCGGGGCACCACCTGAGTTTCCGTTCGCCCAGGGTCTCGGGATTCCCTGAGTGTGGTTTTAATAATTATACAATTATTCACCAGTGATCAGTTAGTTAATAATCGCTCAATTATCTTAAATCACACAATTCCTTTGATTACAGTGAATTTATTAACTAATTAAGGTGAATATGAAAATGCGGTTAAAATATACATCCAAGAAATAAACAATGAGAATGTGGGTTTCTATTGTGGGGAGTATTTGACTCATAGGGGCAGCTAATGAATGCAAGCTATGAGTTTTAAGAGTTAAAGATAATCTATTAACAACTATGGGACATCACTGATCACAGAATGCCGTGCGTTCTCGGTTAGGACAGCTTAAAGCCGTCGGCCAGTCACTTTCTCTGCCAGGGAATTGCTCCGGAGGTCCGTCTTTTGTCGGCTCCCTGAAGAAACTCGCAGTGGGGGGCCTTTCCAACCCTGGCTCGGGTCAGAGGTTTGGTTGTCCTTTGTTACTGCTGGCGGGACCACGTAGCAGGGTCCGATCTCAGTGGGAGCAGTGTAATTTAGCTCGAAGGATAAAGCTTAAAAAGAACTTGGTCGTTCTTGAATTAAACTAGTGTAACTTAACGGTCTGATAACTTTTAACAAAACAAAACCAAAGAAAATAAAACGCACAGTTGCTGGAAACGAGGGAAAGCTGAGGTCGCGGCACTTCGTGTGTGTGGCTTGAAAATGAACAAGCCTTTGCTCCGCCGGGTCGGACTGCTTAGGGCGTTGCCGGGAGGGGGGGCACGCTGGGCGTTGGAGAGCCAGGAACAAGCAGAGGACAAGAGAGGACAAGACAACGTGGGTCACTGCTTTTGTCTGTTGGGGCGTGGTTCCCAGAGGGCAGTCCTTTGTTCCCCTGAGGGAGGGCTTGTTTCTGGTTTCCTGAGACTGTCTTTTCTGTCAAACGGTTGTACCGTTCTTATTTTTAAGCACTTGATAAAAAGGAAAACAATTGTCAGTAGTTAGATCTTAAGGTTAGCCTTTCAGAATCACAGATGAGAGGAACTTAACTAGCTTTCTGGATATATTGGCTGTTACACGTTCTTAGAGATTATAAGCAAGATACACGAATGGCATTAGATTATGGACCGGTAAATACAGAGTGACATTTATACATTAAACAGCATTTCAGACGATAGCATGTAATACTTATTTTGTCCACTTGGGGGAGCTCGGGTTACATGAGGATAGCTTTGATTCACCCTAAACAATTTGTTGCTCAGGAGCTTTAGTTATTTAGTCAATTTAACCTCAAATTCGAGCTGGAAAATTGCTCGAGTATAGGATGACATTTCTTTATCATCATTTCTAAAGGAAGTGTCAGAAAGTGTTGTGAACAAAGCATTGATTACAGAATTACAGATTATTATAGAATGAATAAAAATCAGGGATCCTTGCTGAAAATTAAACACTGCAAAATTAACTTGTTTAGATTCTTTTCAACAACAAATAACAACAACATGGTAACATAACTACTAAAATGGAGTCGGGAGACCTAGTTGAGTAACTTAAAGATTATTTAATTAAACAAGGTAATGCTTTGAGTTTTGAGGAGACAGTACTCTGTTTACACTAAGGAATTTAGGACTGTCCTTCTGGTGTCCTGGAGTTCCTCACAAATTTACATCTGGCTGTGAAAGGAGAATATCCTTTGATGTGAGGTAATCAAACAAAGAGGAAGGACAGTTGCCATGGTTACGTGTGTGGGGGGCAGTTTAGGGTTTCCTGCCCTCTCTTAAGAAGAGTTTTGATAGGCTGTTCAGGAGAATGCTAATCTCTGGTCAGTGTTTCTTTGTCATTTTAACAGTCAGGCAACGAGGCTTATCACGGCTGCTGCCAAAGGTGGCCAGTTTTATGATCAGACTGCCCAGAAACCTTTCACCTCTTCCTTTGGGGTCTCTTCAGCCGTCTGTTGAGAGTTGATACCCCCCCCCCCCCTTCTCTCAGAGAGAGAGAGAGAGAGAGAGAGAGAGAGAGAGAGAGAGAGAGAGAGGAGGAATTTTGAGTCTCCAAATTATTTAATATAAAATACACAAATCCACATTGTTGGTACACTACATGAGGAAAAACCTTTAAGGCAAAGTCAACAAACTTTTTCAGCTGTTTTTATCAGATTTTATTTGTGATTCTATACATGCAGTTTTTTTGTCCTGGTGACCATTGATAGTGCAGTTATGGCTCTCTCGATTCATTCACACAGGTGCCTGATGTTGTTAGTCTGAAATAACTGCCCAGAGGTGTTACCAAGATGGCTGCCGAGTGGTGGGACTTGCTTGGTTCAGGTTCAAACAACTCTATTTATCCTACTAGAGGCAATTAGTTCGTTTAAAAAGTGCACACCAACATACAACAAGCATACAATGTAAAAACTACAACAGCATTCACACTGCTCAAGTTGCACCATAGCGTAAGCGCCCCAGAAGCCCCTCTCTCTCTATGTAAGGACTTTGAACCTTACTGCCACCAGCTGTCAGAGCATCAGAATAGTGTGAAATCAAGTGCCATAGCACAGGTGGTAGTTAAAAACTAAACGGGGTGCTGGTATATTAAATCAAACATTATTTAAGTAGTTGCTAACTGTATCTGTCTGCTGTTTGGTCCTGAGCAGGTAGCGTATCGTAGCGTTGGTTTTTAGAACTTTTTTGGTGAAAACAGCTGCCTGCTGTGTCAGAATACGATGCTACAAGAGCAATGAGGCTGAACCAAACAATAAAGTTGTGCACCAAAAAACAATGAGCTAAAGATGCTGAAAAGCTCCATTTTAAGAACACCCCAAACCCTAATTTACCATTGTAATCATATGAATAGATTGATAGAAAAATATTGATTATAGCAGCTTAAAATGTTATGATAAATGTTATCAAGAAGGTGTGTTTTTCAGCTGTGTTCCTCTTTGTGCAGGAGAGAAGCCGTACATCTGTGAGATCTGTGGGAAGAGTTTCACCAGCCGGCCGAACATGAAGCGCCACCGCCGCACCCACACCGGGGAGAAGCCCTACCCCTGCGAGGTGTGCGGCCAGCGCTTTCGTTTCTCTAACATGCTCAAGGCTCACAGGGAGAAATGCTTCCACGTCAGCAACCCCATGGTTACAGACGGCAACAACCCCCTCGGCCTCGACCAGCCTCTGGCCTCACCCGCTGTGGACTCTTCTGGTCAGGTGCAGCTGGGGGCAGCGCTCCCTGCCACATCTGTGACCACACCCACTGCTGCCTCTAGCCCACACCCCCTCCATGGCACCCAGCTGTCCCTCCCCCTGCTGCACTCCATGGGGGGGCTGCCTCCCACCCCTCATTTACCCCCACCGCCTCCCCTGTTCTCTGCCGGTAGGATGAACTCCAACAACTAACAAATCTCTGTAGCATCTAAAGCACTTTTGTTACTTTGTTTTTCTTAGAGCATTTAAGAGGACTCCTGCGGCGGGAGAGTGATGCACCTCAGTGACATTTACACTGAGGAGAAAAACTGACTGAAGGCTACACGGAGGCCTCATAAAAAACACACATACACCTACCACAATAAGAAAAAGTTATTTTTTACTCTGTTAAATACAATAGATAACCTCAGAGTCCAGTAGGACATGTTGTCACAACGCTTCTCCTCATGAATTTCACAACTCTGTTCTGGTTTCATTTGGGATTTTCCACTACCACACACATCTCTCCAGAGCCTTGCACAATGCATTGATTGTAGCATCTTTTTCAAAGTGGGAGGAAGAGTATCCTAAATCTTAACTTGTACTGGGGTGATCAATCGAGTCAGAACCACACTAAGATGACAAAAAAAATGTTTTATTTTTGATCGTTCCCTGCCAAGATGTAGCGAGTGGTTCTGGTCCAACCCAGCAATAACCAAATGCTGATTTGTCTTTGAGCATATACATGTATATGGCATTGCCAATAACCAAATCCTGTTAGCTCACCCGCTTTAGTTAGATAATGTTACACAGCATTTATAATCGATCCTGCACCTTACATTTACCTCTAGTGATATTTAAAATATACTCCTAATTGTCTTCATTTTTATAATTGTGATAGCGTGTAATTTGTGACCTGTTACGTCAGTTTGTAAGGACGTAAGAAAAGTTGTGACACGTGGAGAGTCGGCCGTGCAATGCAGCGTGTGGTGTTTGTGACTGTGTGTGTGTGTGTGTGTGTGTGTGTGTGTGTGTGAGTGAGAGAGATGTGAAGCAGAGACGGGAGATAATGATCTACGTTCAACTAATCAACGCTTGAGCTTCCCTGATTCAGGAGATGGAGTAATTTGTTGACTGTCATCTTTTGCTTACATTAAGCAGGCGCACCCTTCTCCTGTAGATCTGGCTTTGACACGATATCGCACTATTCTGTACTACTTGTAAAACCTAATGTACTGACCTACAGTATATTTGTAGGTTTAAAATCAAATGTCAGTGTTACCTTCCGCCTCATGTCCAAACTAAACCCAATCTGTGTAATTAGTTTCCAGAATATTAAGAGTGTAGGTGTAAAAATCTTCACAAAAACCTGCTTACGTAGCTGATTGAGTGTGCACATTTCATCAGGATGTATATTGTGAAATGATAAACATTATATCCCAATGCCTAAATCTCTCAAAGAGCACTGATAGTGATTAGTGCATCACTAAAAGGGCTCCTTATGATTACATCACTATTATCCATAGTCAATTTTTTATAACAGGGATCTGTAGAAGGTGAGCAAAGTTAGGGACATGCAGTATGTAAAACCGCCCAAAAATGTGTGGCTCAACGTGCACTTTTGACATTTTTGTCATGAACCTACTGGCAGTAGAACTGAAAGAATATAATCAAATCATTGTCAGTAAAAAGTTCTTCTCTTAAAGGAATAGGGAAATACACTCATTTGCTGTCTTGCCGAGAGTTAGATGAGAAAATCTGAAGCTCCGGCTAGCAGCTGATGGAAACAGAGCTCTGTCTGAAGGTTAAAAAAGAAATCACCTAGCAGCCCCTCTAAAGCTAACTAATTAAAATGTTAAATCTTGTTTGTTTTATTGTACAAAAAACAGAGTAAAAACACCAATTTGTGGTTTTACTACTTTGGTTTTTGTTCAGTTATTGAAAGACAGGACATGGGGAAACAGCTTGTGTTTTAACACTCAGTAAATCCCAATTGTTTGTTTTTACACTTAGGTTTTTGTACATAGGCAGATCTTTTTACCTATGGGCAGAGCCAGGCTAAATGTGACACCTTGTTTCTTGTCTTTATGCTACGCTAAGCGTCTGCTCATCTTGGATGGACAGATATGAGAGTGGCATCAACCTTCTCATATAACTCTGCAAGAGAGCAACAAAGCATACTTGCCAAAATGTCAGAATAGTCCTTTAAAATCTGACATTTCAATCAATTAAATCCAAAAAGACTCTGTGCACTATCGATGCACTCCTGCTCACTTTATCTATAGATAGCCTACTTGTAGTTTAGCATTAACCTGTAAATATTGTTAAGGTATGTTTCCTTCTTGTGATTAATTCCTCATGTTTACATTTGGAGAGTCAGTTGAATGTGCCCCCACGTGTGTCTTGGCTGGTACTAAGTTGGAATTTGTGGATAAGCTTTTGTAAATGTAATAAGCTGTTTTTTTTGTTTTTATTTAATAGGCAAATTTAAGCACCTTAGTGTAGTCTTAAGTCTTCGCTCACCCTACTTACATGTATTTCTTATAAACTGCCATTGTTAAAAAGCTAGGGCCACATCAGATGTTATTTGATAATGGTACTTTCCTTGTGTGTCTAACATATGTTTTGTACTTTGATTTGCTGCTTTTGTACAGGGTCCAGTTTGAAACTGCCCTTTAAATGAAAAGTATAGAGCTGTTAAATTGTTGAATATATTCTGGCTTTGATAAATCCAATTTAGCCTTACTGGACAATTGAACTCCAGGGTCAGAAACAAGCTTCAGTTTAGACATTTTCAGCAGTTTGATGAGGTAACTGCCAGCATCTTCTACTCATCTAAGGTTTGATGAGGTCATTGGTAGATAGGGCTTCTGGTTGTTGACAGAAAGAGGACTAAAGGCAACGTGGCACACAAACATGGACTGTTGCTCTCTTGTGGCATCTTTGTTAACTGCACTCTGTTAGTAATCGTACACTTAAGAAAGAGAAAAGCCTCCCTTAAGAGTACACTATCATTCATTAAAGATGGCTAAGATATATTTTCACACTTTACTGTTTTAAGAAGCTCTAGCCCAAGAGACAATACTGAGATACTGTGGTTATAGTTTGTGTATTCGCCTTACTTGGAGGGATTTGAATGTTTTTGTGTTAAGGATGATGGTAGTAGCTAATGGTAAAGGAGAAGAGATAGTAGGTTATACTACTGATTTATGCACTTTGAATTTGATTGCCACACTAGCCCATAATGGGGAACATGTATGCAGATACAAGGTAAAAAATAGGTAGCAGATATGTGTACTGGAAAAAAATATTTCCAACATTTCCAGGAAAATCAAAATTCAAAGGCATACGTTATATTTAAAAGTACTGTGTGGATATTGATACTTTAATTGATATACTCTACAAATTGCAGTCAATTTCTTTGAGTTAACTGTTCAAATGTTATCAGAGTTTGTGGTTGGTAAGTTGCAGAAGCGGCCTGACCTGTGTTTTGTTACCTAGAATAACTTATTCGCTGTGGTGTGGAGTCAGCGCACCTAAACTGGTGTTTCAGTCTGCCTGTTTGGCACTGTGCACTTTTTAACAAGTGTTTGTGACACCTTCCTGAGGGTGCACATAGTGCAGCTGTGGCTGTTTTTGGTTGGTTCTCCTATCACTAACAAAACCCGAGAAACTACCAGTTTGCTCCTTTTGAAAGGTCTTAATATGTTTATAATTATTTCAGGCCATAAGAAAGTGTAAAGGAAGGTGTCAGTTGCCAAATTAAGTAATGACAAAGATATTCATTATTGTGAGCACTTTATACTCCAGTTCAGCTAGCAAGGTTTGAAGGCTGATACAGTTGCAGTTATTTGAATTGAAATGTGCTGATGGCAGGTGTATGTTTTTAATTTTTAATTTTTCCATGGTATAAGATAAGAAATTACAAAAATGCAGTCTCCTTGGCAGATGTTCAGTATTCTGAAACAATATTTTTTTTATACCAGAGGGACATCAGAACGGTTTGTTCAGAGCCTACAAAAATTGATCCTACTGTATGTACCTGCTTGAAATCAGATTGAAATATTATACTAGAATCTATTGCGAGCCTCCAAACCTGTGTGGTATTATTCACTTGCTGGTATAGTAAATCAAACATTATTTTCGAGGTGAATGACACTGGGCAGATGGGTCAGAATTTTTGAAGGGCTGTAATTTATGAAATGATAATCCTAAATTGTCTGTTTTACCACACTTTGCCCACTGTATTACATATATAGTTCATGACACAGAGTTCAGAGGAAGTGAAGAGAGTTATTAGGCTATGAAAGTCTAAATCCACCCTAGAAAGCATGGTTTAAATGTTAATCCTTTGTCTTGGATTAATGGTGAACAAGTCTTCCCTAAATCCAGCTGCAAACAAGAAAAAACCCATCTGTGACTTCATCAAAGTGATTTAATTACACTTAATCAAGCTGTACATTAATAATGTGTCAAAGACGAACATTTATGCACTGACATCTCTCAAATCCTAAAAAAAGAAAATAACAAGGACATTTTTAAACATTAATTTTTAAATTTAATGGCAGTAAACTGAGATTCTACATACTGAGAAGGGAAATTTTGCACATTGTTTTAGAGTCTTATATTCAAGGCAGCCTTAGTAAATTCTCCTTTACTAAGGCTAATAGCCAAAGGCTTGTATTAGATTAAGCAAAGGTGGACCTGCCCTTGTCCTTAAATGAGGGTTTGTTAGTGATTAAGTGGGTGCCTAGACACAGTGACAGTGCATTCTGCACTGCACCCAAAGCAAATGTTTCTCACATAATGAAGCATTGAGCATGGCAGTTGGTACAGAGAAGAGTGCTCACGCAATTGCCAAGTTGGTGTCTCTACTGGGACTTGTAGTTTTGGGTTTAGCTTCTAGAGCCGAAGTGTGTATCAAAAAGGATTTGATTGTGTGGCCTTCCGCTTCAAGAAAAGTGTTGGGAATATTGCTGTCTTATTTTAGTAGCAGTTACTGAAGTTCCATGACGGTATTGGAGAGAAAGTATTATATGTATGTAAGAATCTAAGGAAAAGTATTTCTTTTTTTAAGATTGGAGGAGCAGTTTTTTGTTGTTTTTTATGGAGCCACAAAACAAGCAAAAGGTTATTAGATGAGTCAAAAATATAACTGAATATGTCAATAAATGTTAGTTAATTACTAAAATGGAGTGTAAAAATATTCTGCGGTAATAGATTTTGGTCTGTTGGTCAGACAAAACAAGACGATTGAAGATGTCACCTTTGGTGCCGGGATTTTTATTTGATTTATTTTTTTGCCAAAATTTTATAGACAGACAATAAAAAAACAAAAATTGCAAGAGTGGGATGATAAAACTCAGAAACATATCAAATATTCAAGCTAATGCTTTAGCTACTATTACACAAGTTTATAAAGTGACAAGACAGAGGTATAGTTGAGTATATGGATGATTAACATTACATGTACTGGCTGCTGTAGTTTAATGAAGTAGCTAGGTAACAATGCAGGTGCTCAGTTTGTTTAGCCACCAGTGTTGTCAGTTAAGATAGCCAGCCACACAGTCCTCTAAAAAGAACGTAAATTATAATGTTTAGCTGTTTTTACCAACTGTTTTGAGGTTAAAGTAAAATTCCTTTTTACCTCTATTTAAATGTTTTTACTGGCAGTAATATTCAATATGTGTATTCAGTTGTATTTTTTAAATCAGTCTTTCACTACAATTGGTCAGTTTCTGGGCTCCATAGAAACTACAACATAAAATTGGAAAACAAGTGTTGTTGGTTATTTTGCATGTGAAAGTTTGGTTAGCTGTTCTAATGAATTTGTTCAATTGTGATGTTTCAGCTTTTTGAGCAAAGATACATGTGATATTAACCAGGGGCACCAATGCCACAGTTAATTCAGATGAAGATGTAAATCCACATACCCTCTACATTTTCCATACTCACTCACACTGCAGTTGTGTTAAAGAAATCATAATGTGTACTGTTATTTGCTGATTCTCTACATTATAATGTAAACACTATGTCTTAGTTAACTCTGGTGTACAAAGACCATGTGTAGGCAGTAGTTGTCCAGTTCAGCTATATTAAAATACTAAAAACCGTACAAGGACATTAGTTTCTAGAGGTGCTAATAACATTAGACTGTATTTTCTGTCTTTTATTGTATTATTGACTAGTGTTTACTGTCTGTAACACAGCAGAGCGTAATGAAATCATTTCAATATTAAACATTATAGATATATTATTGCAAATGGAGATGTGTGTTGTGTTTTTGTTTTTGCCCAGAGAAACTGAAATTGTTTTTTAACTGTGTCATGTGCCAGTCGTGCTTAGAGGCACCTCCATTATGGCTTTGCTGCCATCTGTTGGGAAATGCAGAACTTCTTGCCAACACATTTTCCATGATTATCAGGACAGTTTTTGATGTGAAATACTTCAGTTTTATTCCATACTGTGAAAAAAAATGTCAAATGTCAGCTGGCTACAGATTGTTTACAGTTTTACAATTTCAATTAAAATCACTGAAACACACATATATAAAAAATGCCTTCAATCAAAAAATGATTGTCCATGATGTTAATCATTACAGCTGCTGTAGCATAGTGTAAAATAAAACAACCTGAACACCAAACATACTAAGCTGACTCTTAACGTCTACTGGTGTTAGATGTCACTGTGACTCTGAGCCCAGTTTGGACTACTATGAAGTAGTTATTAACAAGCACAGATTTCTGTTAACAAGCAGGGACTGGAGGGGGTTTTACATCTTGGTGAGACGCAGGGTGTTGAGGCGGGTCCCCAGAATAGTGGCCCCTGAAGCGTACTGGATCTCTCTGAGGATCCCATTCCACTTCCTCTCTGTCTCATCAAACCTAAAAAATAGTAATCAACAGTGCAGGTGAGCAGCACATAACCTGGGATGTTTTGCATATATTGTGAATAACAATGTTATTAAAATAACAGAGCAAATGGTTGATCTGATTCCTACCAAACTTCCAGTTGTACTTTCTATTAACATGACGTCCAATGCAACAAAGGGTGACTTTATCTTTATAGATGTTAGTCCTAATTATAGAAAGTACCAAGAGCATATCAATGTATGAATGTGTGAAGGAAAGGAACTGTGTGATATTATGACCCACCTCCAGATGTCGTTCATCTCTTTGGGAAGGATCTCGTCGCTGTCCTCTAAAGGCATCATGGCAAAACCTCCTACAGCATAGAGGAAGCCAGTCAAAGACACCAGGTTCAGAGAGCTACGCTCCTGGGGAAACGCTACAAAGTCTGACCACCTGAAAAATGTAAATACACACACACACACACACACACACACACACACACATACACAGGGGTACAGCTCAAAAAAGTGCAATAGACTTCAATAGGGCTCAAGTAGCTCGATTCGGAAATCTTTGGAGCCACCAAGTAACATTTGACCTTTCAATTAAGGTTGTCATGTTAATCTCTTTTCCCACAAGAAAAAAGTGCTTTACAATTAAGTTAGTAATGTGAAATTATGAAGAACAAGTAAGCTACAATTAAATTGACTGAAACAAATTGTAAAATACAGTAACCCAGTAAACCCAACAATATCCTGTGTCTTCATTCTGCAAAGTGCACACACAAACCGGTCCAAGCAACCATTTTGTATGCACGTGCCTCAAGCCTGTATGTAGAACCCACATTCATTTATGCTGCCTTTCCTAGGATTTCTTGGAACTCACTTGTTGGCAGCGATGTCGTAGACCTCCACAGAGTCCGTCAGCCCAGTGTCGGTGACTCCTGCCGCCACATATATTTTGTCATTATGAACGGTGGCTCCAAATAAAGAACGAGCAACCTTCATGGGTGCAAGCTCTTTCCATTCAAATCTCTTGGCGTCATATGCACACATCTGCTTTAGACAGCTCCTTTTCACAAGAGAGATGGAGAACATATTACATATGAGGTCAACCATTCTGTAGTGGTCTCTTTATATATAAAATAAAGTGGTATACAAATGTAATCCATAGTTGTTTGTCTATATTATGAAAAAATATATTCCTTCTGTCTTTTGCTTCACTGAAGAATAAAGCATCTTCACACTGGCCACAGATGGATATTAATATTTTGGTCACACTTAATGCTCACTTGTTGTCTCCCTTTCCTCCAATCACATAAACAACATCATTATGTGATATGGTTGCATGTCCATAGACTTGATAAGGGATTGGCTCTGATTCACCCCATTTAAAAGATCTGTAAATGAGAAAACACAGGAATGGTGCAGATTAATTAGGAGTCAGTCCTGAGAATAACAGTCCATTAAGTAATGTCACTAAATTCATCATGAACTTTAACAAATACTCACTGTCTGTCATAGACCAAAACTGAGTCCAGCATGAGCTCCTGCTCCTTCAGTTCCTTCCCTCCCAACACAAAGATGGAGTTCTCGGCCTCAGCCAGCCCAAAAAGGAAGCGGGGAGACGGGATGGGAGGCATCCCCAGCCAATCAGCGCTGACCGGGTCATACTGAGGTCACGGGAGTCAAACATTTGTGAATGGGTTACATTTACACCACGTGAAGTATAAATACTGTACTGATTTGTATGGCCGCACTATATTATCAAACAGATACGTTTATAGAAGTCCCAAAAATTCACCCTGACATCTTTGGTTTCTTTAAAAACGCCATTAATCCAAACAAAACTGGGCTGCACAGCATGATTTTTTTACTGATTGACCTACCGGTGGGACTGTGGGTTTTAAAATGTTTAAAATATATATTGAGCGACATTTAGCAGTAGAGGGTTGATATTGTGTTTTGCGTCACGTAAATATTTATTATTACTTCCTTAATGGCAGAAGAGCTGCAGGGCTCCAAATAATATCGTATCTAAAAATAGGCTGAGCTGAATCAGTTTCTGTTATTGCAAAATGTCATCTTCTTTTATCTCACAACTTTATCTAACATCCCTCCTACCTGTAGGAAATAAGAGCACAGTGGGTCCTCTTTGTTCTGTTCATCAAAGAATAATCCTCCTGCCACAAAGATCTGGTTCTCCTTGGTGACCAGGCTGATGTGATTTTTGGGAATCTGTGTGGACAGTGATGCCACAAAGCAGTCGTTCCCTGTCGGATCGTAGGCCACTGCACCTGTATCATTCACCATTAGGATCAAGTCCCTGACAAACATGCCAAATCGCATGTTGTCATTCAAGATACCTGGGAGAAGAACCTCTTCTTCCTCTACATCCTCATTCTCTCCAGCTTTCTCCGCTCCGCCGTCCTCCTTCTTGCTTTTTTTAACCTCTGGCATTTTCCCAGCGTGAGCATCCCAGACCAGCTGGAGTTTCTGCTGCAACTCAGGATTAGAGGAGATCAGTTTGTGTTTCTCCACTTTTTCCTTCAGGTAATCCTCGTTGACCAGACGCAAACGAACGCAATCCAGCAAACCTGGCAGCTCTTTCTCTCTGCTTTCCGTGTCCCGGGACACCCATTTCATCAAAGCTTCAAACACTTCCTCCTCTGTCTCTACGTTCAGTTTGTCATTTGCTAAAATGGCTGCCAGCTCACTGGGGAGCAGCTGAAGGAAATCCTCATCTCTGGAGATGAGCTGGAAACGCTCACAGGCGTAGTTTCGAGCAGAGATAGCCAACCTGGGACAGTCCAGCATCAGGCCGAGCCTGAAGATAGCCAGGCAGTTGCTGAGGCTCAGGCGCTTTTGTAGGAAAGACACACATACAGTGAAAATTGAAGGGATCTGGTACACATTAGCCACTGCGAAGATGTCCTGGACGTTCTGCTCTGTCACATTGATTTTGGAGGTGTACAGGTATTTGAGGATCAACCCCATGACCCCTGGCTCCACATCCTCCAAGACAATCTCTCTCTTTTTGCTCTCCTCCAGGTCAGACAGGAAGATGGAGCGGAAGTACGAGCTGCAGGCACACAGGACCAGCCGGTGGCAGGGGAACTCCTTGTCTTTGATCTTCAGCACACAGTCGACCAGCTTCTCATTCTCCAGCAGGTCGTACAGGCCGTCCTGGAGCAATGTCTGCTGGTACATCCTGGGTTCGTCCATGGGGTTTATTGGTAGAGCCATTGTTGCTGGCAAGGGGGAGTTTGAGGAGCCTTTCAGGGCCTTCAAATCAAACAAAAGTGGATCTTCTTTATAGCAGAGTAAGTTTAGTTTCCAGCCTGGAAAGAAGATTCAGACACACACTCAGTCTGCCCACACCAGCTGAACCCTGGGACTGCCCACTTCCGCAGCTGTCCGGACCCTTCAACTGAGCTCCAACTGGCAGGTTATTTATAGCTTGGGTGCTCGGTGTGGAGCTATGGGCTTCATTCTGGAACATGAAATGCAATATCCACGCTTCAAACCCCACCCCTACCCACTCCCCAGGAACATCCACCCACTCTCAGACAGCTGACACATTGCCTAATGGGAAATATGTCCATCCTGAGTCATGGGGGGATCTGGAGAAGACTGTGTAAGAGGCTGCCCCCTGGGGTCAACAGTGTCTCTTTGTTATTACATTTACATGATATTCACATTGTATTATTACACGCACACAATCTCAGAACAAAACGTTGTAACTTTTTTGTGGTTTCCTCCCTACATACACATCACCTGTGTTTCAGATTACATTATTTTATTCAACAAGTGCAATTATGCAACACAAGAATTATCTTGGCGTTGGTTGATTTTGCTGTAAGAATTTTTTTTTTTTTACGGCTGGTTTATTAAGCTGATATTCTTCACTCCTTCCTCGACAATCTGATGTGATGAAATTGCATCGTTTAAACAGTTATTATAAAATCGCCTATCGACTATTCTCATTCTGGCTTTTCTGAATTTAAGGCTAAGTCTGGTCTTTTTGTTCGTGTCTGCGTGGGTTCTCTCCCGGTGCTCCGGCTTCCTCCCACTGTCAGACATGCGGACTAGGTTAATTGGTGACCCTAAAATTGTCCTTAGGTGTGAGCGTGAGTGGTTGTTCAGGATTGGTTGTTCAGGATTGGCCCCAGCCCCCCGCGACCCTGTACGCAGGATAAGCGACTGACGATGGATGGATGGAAATTTAATTTAATAACACAAATAGATAAAAATGTCAAATTAATAAAAATTATTAACTGATATTAATTATATTAAATGACATTAATTCATTAATTAACAAAAAATGTTGTTTAAAAAAGCAAATACATTAACACAATTTTTAGTTACATCAGCTAATAAATTAAACTGAATGAACTTAATCAAATGAAAAATTAAAATGTATGCACACATTAATACATCAATAATGATAATCGAATAATATATAAAATAATTCCGAAATATGGCATTCTTCATAATGACTACTTTTACTTTTGATACTTACTTTGATAGTATATTTTAATGCTGACACCTTTGAACTTTTACTTGTAACAAAGTATTTCTACACTGTAGTATGGCAACTTGTACTTGAGTACTATGAGTAATTCTTCTACCACTTATTACATTAATGAAACGTAAAAAGCCTGTTTCATTAGACCTATGTGGCATTCTCAAAACAAAACCAATTTTTATAGGCATACAGTAGTCATGCCATTTTGATCACACTTTCCAGGTCCAGGTAGTGATTCCCCACAGGTGGGACCACAGCCATGTCTGGACAGTGTTAAAAGGGTTTCCAGTGTAGGCATCAAACAGGAATTAAGCTGCTATGCTGATGTATGCTACAGAAACACAGCTAATGAAAAGACTTAGCACTGACTCATGGACTGTAAAAAAAACTTCTCTAATTCATTAATAATTCTAATTCATACAGCTTTATCAGAAAGTAAACTCACCATAAAGACACAAAACTTGATGCTTTGAACAAATTTTGCAATTTATTTTTTGCATTAATGACAAAGGTTTCAGAAAAATGGCATCCCTGGAGTGTTGTTACACAGAATATTTTGTATTGTCATTTTCATTATCTTCAGACGTTTGAGTGTCTTTCATTAAGCTCAATTTTTTCCCCTTTTAGATATAAACACAGTTATATGATGGTTAATTTATTTACAGTTTTCTACATTAACAGATAGCAAACATTTGTTCACAATTCACGTGAGACAATCTGGACTGGTGACAATACTGTTGGCTATATTCTATATCATTCACTATTAGAATGAAATATCTACTCAGCTTTTTCCTTGCTGGGATCTGTGACAGGCTGAGCAGCAGCAGGCGCAGCTGCAGCGCTGGTTGAGCCGGTGATGGTGTTCGGAGGAGGAGCGGGAGGAAGAGGATCAGGATCATCAATGAGGGCCTGCCTCCTCTCTCTCTCCTTAATCACTTGAATCAGGCAGTAGGTCACAAACATGACAATGGTGGTGGTTATAGGGAAGCCTGGGAAGATAAGAAAAACTTACCTGTTAATTGTTAAGAGAAAAAAGTAAACCCTCTGCAAAATAAAAAATAATAACAACGTCACCTTTGAGAAGCAGCCGTTTGGCGACTAACTTGGCAAAGTCCAAACTGTTCAAGGCCAGGATGTTGTACAACACAATGCTCCAGAAGTTGAAAGTATTGAAGACGGCTCTGATCCGTCTGGACGTTGCTTCTGACATTGCCATCTGTGAAAAATGTAACATAACTAATATAAAAATTTTCAGTTTCCTAACTGAAATGTGAATGCATCTTCCACTAACAAACCTCAAAAGAAGCAAAAGGCTCCATGGAGAAGAGCTTGGCGACCCACAGCTCAAAGTTGAGGCCAAAACAGTTAAAGAAAGCCCAGACCAGCACCACCTTGCAGGGTCCTAGCCAGAGGATGGTGACGCCGAAGGTGCACAGCGTAGCAACCAGCTCCTCCACCACATTCTCATGTTTTCCACCCAGGTAATTGTACACATACCTGTAGATAATCAGACATCAGAACCTATAAATGTGTAAACATTAATAAGACTTGAATTTACTGATCTTTCTGAGACACTCACTTGCATAGCCACTCGTTGATCCCTCTGTCAAAATGGCTATAAAAGAAGAAAATACAACAATACAGGATTAGTTTTACAGATTTGTAATAATCCAAATGTGATCAAGCTGTGTAAACTCACGTTTCAGCAAACACGTAGAGCAAAGTGATGCATTTTGGTGGCTTGGGAGGGTCAAGATGGTCCAGTCTGGCCACTGTGTTGATGACTCCAAACATAACAGCTGCTTTTACCCAGTCATACACCAGGTTAAAGTAAGCTAGGCCCACTGTAAACAATACAGTCACATTATTTACACAGTCAATGTATTGTTATACAGTATAAAATGGAATACATACAGGCACATAATATGTTATCCACATTTTATCACACTCCTCTTCTCATGCTAAAAGTTTCTATAAAGAAACCAGGTCAAATGCTCTGGTTAACACCCCACAGCATTCATTCAAAATAATAACTGTAGGATATTTTGGGGAGATGGCACAAACCTAGAGCCCAGTCCGAGAGGTGCTTCATCAGCTTCATGTCTGTGGGGATGGTGAGGATGTACATGAAATGGAAGAGGACGTCCACTACAATGACGACTCCCAGGTGAGTCATGCCGTGCAGACTGATATTCCACATCTCCCCCTCTTTCCTGGTCAGGTCTAACCTGTTGACCTGCATGGGGCAGCAGACAAACGTCACTCTGATTTTGCGGTTTGCAGAAACAAACATATGGTATGTAATCAGGCTACAGAGCTTATCATTTGCATGAACGCAGCAGTAGACTTTGTCTTCTTTAGTGTACTGTGATGGCTTTCCAAGAGAAAACATCCAACTGTTAGAGGATTTCCAGACCCCAAAGACAATATTCCTCCTCTGTGACATTTGTTCCCAGTTGCCCCCCCCCCACCATATTTATGTTTTCAGATGTCAATCTAACATTTTTTTCTCTCTCTCTCTTTTTCTGTTACTTCTTTACCTCTTCAGACCTTTAAACATATTTAAACAAAACAGAGGAAAGAGCTACTGCTTTAAGAATACAAGACCATCAAGAGTACTGCATTAGTCCCACACGCCTGAGCTGCTGAATGACTGGGAATAAATACCTGATTTTACTTACTTGAATATAAAACTTATCAAAGGTCATGATGGGCCCGAAATAGAAGAAGGGGAGGTAGAAGTTGTACTTGATCAGCTCCAGGATGTTGTAGTTTCCATCTTTCTTCTCGCAGTTCTCCAGAGCAAAGCTCATACAGCGCATTATAGTAAACCCACAGCCTCCATAGAAGAGAACATGCCGCAGATCAAAGTCCCCCTCCACAAAACCAGCCTACATGGGATAGAAACGAGGAAAATAAAACATGAAAGAGTTTAACGAAATTTGGTCACTTTGAAGACAGATTTCGTCTTGCTTCAGGAGACAAGCCCAATAATTTTCATAACTTTTGTAATGTAACTTACAAAGTGCACACAGCTTACCTGCCAGGACACGAAGGGTTCACACTTGAATGTAGCGAGGGTGCAAAGACCAGTGACAAAGCAAAGCCAGCGGATTTTCACTAAGGAGATGCTGTAGAGCAGTATACAGTGGGACAGGATAAGGGTGATGTAGGTCCAGCCCATACTGGTCCACACAGCCAGCAGCCCATACACCATATACACCAAGGACCTGTACTGTGGGAGAGAAATGTGGCATCTAATTACTAATACATTTCATAGGGAAACATTGTCCTTTTCCCTCCACCACAGTTATCTGACAGTTGTAAATATAAATTACCCTCCAATGCTGCAGATAACATCTGTTTAAAGGCAACTGATGACAAAGAAACACTCCTTCACTCTGCCATACTGATTAATTATCACAAAAACATTTGTACAGTTTACTCAAAGCGACAAATATTCAAAGATCTACACTCATGGACCCTGCTGACACATGGTCTATTTTTGTGCTAGCTGCCATAAGTGATCTTGCTAAATATAGAGCTCCATTTCTATTTGTTGTCTCATTCATTCTTCATCTACAGTCATCCCTCAGACCTTTTCTCTTCACCTGGTCCCATTCATCAGCTGCTGTTTAGCTAACGATATAAAAAGCCACTGTGCAATGTTGTAAAAATAAATAGTGACAAAGAGGCTTTCAAATGTCACCAAGTCCTCATGACAATGCAATGAGAGATGAAAACTGGTTGTTTCTTTTGTCTCTTCATAGTGGCTCAATGTTTTGCTCAGATCATTAAACCATGAGTCCTTTACCTCCTGCTGCAGCTCAAGTAGTTATTAATCAATGAATCACTCAGTAGAAGCACCTGAGGAGCCAGCATGGAGCAGATCTTAGCGAACAGCACATGACCAGAGAGAGCAAACAAGATGTGCTCTCTGAAGGTAGAAAACCACATCATCCACTCCATATCGGCCGTGTCCTGTAGGTGAATGAGCAGAAAAAGACATATTAAAATGTTTTGGGTTCTTTTACATCAATGACAAATGTCTTGATAAACTATGAATGTTCTCTCACCATTCTCCTCCCAAAGTAGTACCATCCTGGCTTCACACTGGTTTTGAACGTCTTTCTGTTTGCACTTGCTGGAAACAGGGAAAGAGAAAAAAATATATAAATAATGAAAGTTGATGAAAAATGGCAACACAGCAAGAAACAAAATGTATGGCATATAATATAGAACATATGGCATGAGAGGATATCTCATATCAGCACACATACATTAACATTTTCTGCAGCTGCTTGATATATTTTATTATTATCTTTTTTATATTTTTATTGTCCTTGATTGCAGATGTGAAACTTTTGTTACAAGTGATATGCAGGGCCAACACAGGACCTATTTTCTTTCTATGTGGTATTAATACTGACATCTGATCTCCTCTGCGTGGGCTGCATAGCTTCCACTCTTCACCCTCACACAGTGATCCTGCCCCTATATGTATACTGCACATTGTGTTATCTGTACGTGACTGCACTACAAGTTATAACTTGTGCCACATAGGGTTCACAGTCTAGCCTCATTTCTGGGTAAACTAATGCACGGATCTCTTTAAAAACATAAAATATTTGGACTTAAGTTTATACATGGTTTTGTGTTTGAACATCTGCATTAGAGTATGTGTGTAAATGTGAAAGTATTATTGCTTTTGAGCAGCCTTTTTATAGTACTTTTACATCATAGAATTTGCTTTAGTTCCTTACTTCTGCAGTCGCCTACAGTTGGCACAATCAGGAAGAAATTTGATCGAAGTTTGCTTTGAACTATATTTTTCTGTTGCATAGTGGAATCGGCTCAATATGTCAGCATGGGTAATATCAGCTGGTTTGAGATCAGCACGGATATAATAGTAAGAAATTACAGAAATGTCACCATTAAATAGTTTGTTCACCAGAAACAAGTTTATTTTTCAACTGTAAAATATCCCACTCAGATGTTTTTACTTTGTTTTACTTTTAATTAACTGATTAGATCTCTTGTGTGCAAACTACAGCTGTCTGAAATCACTCGCTCTTTCCCTCTTAATTCTCCCTATATATTAAACAATCATGATGAGCAGTAAAATGAGATTTATTATGGTGTAGAGTTGCACAAATATCAGGTTTGGAAAAAGCTGCAATGTAAGAAGGATTGGCCGGTTAATAGATTATATTTAACAATTAAAGTGGGTGAACAGAAGAAAAATCTATACATCAAATCAATATTTGGTGCGACCACCCTTTACTTTTAAAACAGCAGCAGTTCTAAGTAGTTTTTGAAGGAACTTGGCAGCCATACCTCCGACATGGAAACAAGCCCAAGCGACTCAACTATGCACAGAAACACCGGAACCGGGGAGCAGAAAAATTGCAGCAGGTGCTCTGGACTGATGAGTCAAAATCTGAAATATTTGGCTGCAGCAGAAGGCAGCTTGTTGCCAGAGGGCTAGAAAGCAGTACAAGAATAAGCATCTGCAAGCAGCATTGAAGCATGGTGAAAGTTCCTTGCAAGTTTCTGCAGACCTAGTTGGGGATTTGGTCAGAATTAATGGTCACTTCAATGCTGAGAAGTAAAGGCAGACAAAAACAGTCAGGGAGGCATCTGATTGGCCCCAAATTTATTGTTCAACATGACAACGACCACAAACATACAGTGAAAGTCATTAAGAGCTATCTTCAGCAAAAACAACGAGTCTTGGAAGTGATGGTATGGCCCCCACAGAGCCCTGATATCATCAAGTCTGTCTGGGGTGAGGAAGAGAAAGAAGCAACTGAGACTGCCTAAAGTGGGTAGTTCTCCAAGATGTTTGGGCCAACCTACCTGCCAAGCTCCTTTAAAAACTACCTGGAGGAATTGATGCCGTTTTGAAGGCTATAAGGTCACACCAAATATTGATTTAGATTTTTCTTCCGTTCACTCACTTTGCGTTTTGTGGATAAATATAATCTATTAACATGTCTACTTTGAAGCATCCCCCCCCCCACACACACACACACACTTGTCTAAAACATTTGCGGTGTCGATTATTGGCCTTAAAAATCCAGTATCAGTTAAACAAATTTCACGAAAAGCCCAAACCAACAAAGTGTTAGTCCGTCACTAAAAATGTTTCAACTTCTGCAGCCTGTTCGTGACACAGACCTAAAGGCCATTTGCTCCTATTGAAGACATCTTTTTTAATAAAATTGGTCAAATATATATTAATATATCATTTTCTTATAAGGGTCAGTAATTATAGAGCAGGTAGTACTATGGTTTTCAACAATTACTCAAACAGGAGGAAATACTGTATTTTGGGGCGGGTATTTTATGCTACATATTGAGACACATTTGGTGCTCATAGCATGTCAGAGTTTTATTTATTAGCAGACACTTACCAGTACTTCACAAGCATGATATTTTAATACTTTGTGAGCATGCGCTTTCTCATACTCACAACTGGACACCTCAAAGATCCAGCTGGCAGCCCAGAACATGGCCAGACACAGCACTGTGTTGTAGAAATAGATCTCATATTTGGGAAGAGCAGCTTTGATCCCCATGGTGACAGACAGGGGGCGCTCTGGAGGCTCCTGAACAGACATCAGACCAGTGAACCATTTTTCTGTACAACTACAACAGGTTTTACCTGAAATTACATTCATGCAGTATACATTTCCTTTCTGAGACACTATTTTTACTCAACTGTACCTCAGAGAGATTTTGCATTTATTTACCATTTATCTGATGGCTGTAATGAGATGTGGTCATAAATGATTATGCATACTGAAAATTAGACCCTGTAGCAGTTTCCAGGTTCTTTACTTAAGTAAAAGCAGCAGTAACACAACGCAAAAATACTGAAAGTCCTACACTCAAAATTGTCATTTTATTCATGCTAATGCAGAACATTGTAGTTGGTCAAACTTGTACTACCTAGACTACTGTATAGTAAAACTTAATATTTCATTTACACTGGCTTTGGTAGGTAGTTGTTTTTACTAAATGTGTTTTTAGACTGGGGTATTGCTTTTAGTGGTGGAAGAAAAAGTAGCAATACTTTAATGGAAAAACACTGCATTCAAATATTTACGCAAGTAGTGAAATTTAAAGTAGGCTATCAAAAGTGAAAGTACTATTAGTAGTAGTATTACATTATTTCCACTGTGATCAGTAGTGGAGTGGAAGAGTAGCATCAAATGGCAGTAATGGTTAAAATTGTACTACAGTACTTTAGTAAATGCACTTCATAATTCGGCTACTTCTTCATGTAGACATGCCACATTTTATCTACATACAACTGCATGCTTTATTTTGATGCCTCTTCTGTAACATTAGCTGTTTTCTCTTTTACATTTGAGACGCCAGAGCAAATAATGCAAAGTCATGTGGCTCACTTGTCTCTGTCAAATGATTGTTTTAAGTCCTAAAAGCCACCATAAATCAGGAACCTTATCTGCGTGTGATTATCAAGTTAAATGAACAGTGGAGGGCAAGTTTCCACTGATGGACACAGACAACAAAGTGCAGCTGCCTGCTATTTAACATATTTCTCTCCACTAAAGTTATCAGCCCAAAACAATGCCATATTGATTTGTAATGCAGAAACTAAAATTTAAATCGTCTTTCAGGTCCACAGACAACACCGCACTTATTTTTTTTCTAGCTGTATTAAAATCTGTGCCCGTTTCCTCTTCACAATGCCTGAGTGAGATGCCTGCTGTTGAAATGCCACCCGGTCATGCATGTCAGTTTGTCCTCCTCAGCACCTGTTGTGATACTGACCTTGAACGCAGCAGTTGTGGGCCCCTGGAGAAAGAAAAAAAATAAATAGCAGCACCTTTTTGATTTGTTCAAAAGGAGGAGGGAAAAAACAGATTAAAGTGTCATCAAAAAAATAAAGGCACGAAAGAATTGTAAACTTTTACATGTGCTGTGCATCTACAGAATGCAGGGTGGGCTGCGGGTCCCTCTGACTCCCTGAGAGGGAGCTGCCATCGGTTAAAGGTGACATGATGTATTTATACTTTGACCACTGACACAGAGGGGGCGGGCCATGAGGACTGCTAAATCAGTTTAACATTAACAACATTAGGAGTCCATTAAAGGACTTTTATCTTGCTTTTACAGACGACTGATTTCGGAAGGCGAGGGTAAACCTACTTCTGGCAGCTATATAGTCTGTTCATGTGCAGAATAGAATTTAGGCTTAATCACATTTAGCACCAAACTGCATTATGCAAAAAAAAAAGAAAGAAAAAAAAGCATGATTTACCATCAAATGTACATGTTATTTATGCTTGTCTGCATTGGGTTTGTCCTTGTTTGAGACATTTAAGAAATGCTGTGTAGTTATTGTCTCTTCTCTTGTTGCTATTTTCTATATTCCTGGTTGCCACTTGCCAGATCTGTTTTGGGAGGGTCTAAGCCTGTTGCAATTTTGAGTGGTAGCCAAACCGCCATGCTTCAAATTCTACAATGAACTATGAAAACATGTAGTGCCGTCTAGTGACAATACAATGGAGATGCAGCGTTATCTATACAGCTGGGAAATTGTAGGACATGTTTACAAAAAGAAAACCGTACAGTATGTGGTGTTTTTGAAAAGGTCAACCAAAACAGACAGTATTTATAAAACTCTACACTTGACTTTATCTAGGTTTTCTACTTTCACAGTATCAGCACTACACATCCACTGGGAGTTGTTAAGGCAGTTGCTCAAGTGACAGTAACACTGCTCAAGGGAGGCCACAGAGGACCACGTGAGCCCACCAGCATGTTTGTGACTGGCCGAGCTTTCCTCCAATCTACAGTATGAAACAAGCTTGAATCTCCAGATGCTGCTGTATCTGTTATGTCTTGACAGACCTACAGATAAAGATGCAATCCTAGGAATTAATGCTCTCAATCATATTGTTAGGCCTGTGTACCATCATAAACTCCCAATCAATGAAAATAGCTCTTTCCTGTCTAATAATAGGCTAAGAAGCTTTCTGTTTCAAAAAAAAATTACTGTGTAAAATGTAAAATCTTTATTTGCCCCCTGTGCTTAAACTAAATAGTACTGTATTGAAATCTAAAAGTTAGCATCACACTTACATAACTGGTGGACAAATGGCATAAACCCCTGGTTTCGTTTCCCCAGTGAAGGAACATTTGTATGGAGCTGAAATACTAGACAAGAAATAATCAAGATTTAATCTTCAATTAAAAAACAGTGAAACAATTACAGCACAATATTAACAAGCACATAATTCCCCACTCATGTTGTTTTGAAGGAGGCGGAACAAGTGCTCGAAGAGTACGTGATTCTGATGTCAACGGAGGGCTTGATTATTAGAGGAACAATTTCCTCCACTGTGGGAAAAATAGAGACGATTGTTTTCCCACACGAATAACTCATTGTTCTACTCTGCAGCTTTGAGTTCTCTTACTATGCAACATTTTCTGGAAACTCTTCACACCAACCACATCTTTTTTCATTTTAACCGTCCTGCCGTGTGTTTGAAAGCTGAACTCCCTACAGAAATAAACACAACATCACCACATTACATTGGGATTTATATATTCTTAAATATAATACTCAAAAAGAGGGCTATAATTAGACCATAGTTTGGTTGTAGGACTGGGAGAATAGAAGGATATGGGTTCCTCCAGGGGCTTCACTAGAGGGACCTTGGTGGCTCTGGAGTGACACTGGAGGTCATAGCAGGATCAGTCAGAACGGCGACTATATCTAGCCAGCCCTGAGGGAGAAAACAGATTTGTCTTGACTTGCGTCCACAGTTCCAAACTTATATATATATTGTGTGAATAAAAAAGAAAAATATTTACAAAGAATATTTTGGAAATCAGCGCATACGTAGTGCGCCATCTCGTTTTCCATGTGCTGACGGAGGTGCACTTCATCTTTGGACAGCCCCACTTTAGTTAGATTGAGGTTGATTCTTCCAATGAAGCAACCAAACACTGAATTATCGCATACACAAAGAAGATTCAAAGATTTTATAATGACAATTGTCCAAAAAAAAAAAAATCTCATTTAATTACAACAAATGATTATGCTAATTATCCATGTTAAGTGGAACCACATCCCTCCCTGTTATCAAAATATTTGTTCTCTCTTTTTGAATAAAATGCTAAACCAATCTGATACATATTTACCAGCAGTACCTTTAATTTATTATAGTTAGGCTATAACAGTAAATTATATAATCTATATATGAAGACAGACTATGTACAGCACACAACTATATTGCCACTGTTTATTACTGCACTCCCTGGAGAAACGATCTCAAAAAGAAGCAAATTGTGCATTTGAAGGTTATATTCAGGCTGTCCAACTGACGTGAAAAAAAAAATTCAAATTACAGAAGTTAAAGCCTACTGATCGCAGAGTAAAAGTGAACCACCATATCACCTGACTATTAAGAGGACAACACTATTAAGGATCAACATTGCTCCTGTACGGCTGAGTAGGCCTCTGTTCACCATTACAGTCATTAAAAGCAGAACAGTAGGGCTTTATCGTTACATTCAGTAGTAAGTTTAGCTAACGTTAGCTAACCTTACATTTGGAACAATCCACAGCCTACATTTTTCTGGATTTGATTTAAGTTTTGGTAAGGTAATAAATCGTTCTTCTCCTTTCAACCTCTCTGGGTAGGAACTGTAATTATAACAAGTTCTCCAGGAACAGTGTTTGACCATATCTTGGAAAAAGAAAGCTTGAAAACGACTCGTTTTACATTAGAGTCAATGGAGCACAGCCATGAAAGTGTCGGACCTCAGTTAAAGCGAAACCTATACTGTGCTGTGATTGGCCAGCCATGTGTTCGGGGTGTGGCTTAGTGAAGGGTCAATTAATCAGCCTTAATATGGAGTCATGGCTGCCGGAGGATACCAGCACGCCAGCTGTTTTGGGACCACCTGACTCTTAATGGCTCATGAATGCATATAATGAAGTAGGGTGATGCAAGTGTCCTAGCGTAAGGGCAAATTAAAAATTAAAATGATTTTCCACTAGGAAATATCTTGCAGTTTAGCAGGTTTGATTAAGTTATGGCTTTTTACTTGCGAATATTTTACTGCACTTACAGTAATGAGCATACTTATTATGATTTCTTGCTGGGTGGTGCGAAGGGGGCACTGCCGGCAACGCAAAGGCCTTTGCCCGAGTTGAAAATTTTCAACTTGCACGAGAAAGTGCATTACGCTGAGTCACGATAGCCGTCAATAATATCAGTGTTGATATTATCCAGATGTCAGGAGAGGGCCAGGCAGAGCCGGGGATTGAAATGCCGCTGGCCGGTGGAAAACTGCTAAACTTGGGGGAGAAGCCGAAACAGCGCTGCAGCTTTTGGACAAATAAAACACCCGTAGTCGGACTGGATTATGCTCTGACAACTATGCCGTTTACTCGCGGGAGGAGCACGGAGTAAAGTTGCTTTTATTAAATTAGCTTTTTACTTTAGTTTTTGGAATTACAACGTTGATTCATCTTCACAGCAGCTAGATTCCATGCACATCTGGTTCCACTGTTGTTCGTGTCGGTTGGCACCCAGAGCTCTTGGCACTTCATATTTATAAAATAAAAAAACCCACACAGGTGTGTTTACCTGAGGTTTAGGCCTCTTGGGTGTCTGAGTGTAGGGAGAAGAGAATTCTGAGGAAGGTGCGAAGCATATTTAAAATTTATAATAATGTTCGTGGTGATTAAAACCTGCTTTCACATGGTGGCATTATGTGAAAGATTTTGATTCACAATGCCGGCTCAACCATCTGTCAGCCATCACCGATGGACAATGGCATCATCTGTCCAACCCTACTTGGCGTTGGGAAGATTAAATTCATGTTTGGTCTGATTGCTGCATAAGGTCTACTAACTTTGCTTGGTGTGCATTATATTAAACAATCTATAATAATTAATAAGCCCCTAGGGTTTATTTAATACCCATCCTGAAAAGAATAATAACACTATAAACACACTATATCTATAACAGTTTGTCAAGACCACCACCTACAGCCATATTTCTTTAACAGTATTGAGAGAAGACAATTTAAGTTATCGTTACTCATTTGGTAGATGATTTTATCCAAAGCAACTTACATTTCAGGATCATCATACTTTACAAGCGTCAACAAAGCAAGTTTAATTTAATTAGCTAACATTACTGCCAAACACATTTGAAAGGGCTGTGAAGGTAAATCAGTAATGTAACACTACTTACTAAGAACTCAGTTATTAATTCATGCAACACTAATTTGCTACCTCCTTGTAGGCATGCCCGCGAATTGTTAGACAGGATACCTACAGTACATCAAGCTAAAGTTAGCTAGTTTAACGTTAGCCAACTCCACACACGTGGACTATGACATTTAAATGTATGTATGGACGTTACAAATAATACAACAATATTACAATGTAAACGTCTACTTTGACATGAACTAGTTACGTTAGTAACGTTAGCTTGTCAATTTTATGGTACATTTAAGCTAGCAATCAACTCGGTCACGTTAGCCTTTTGGAATTCAGTTTAGAGATAAAACCAGTCAGCTGGATTTTATGGTGAACATCAATATAAAGTTATTCTACAACACTGTTGTTAAAACAATGGTCTAATAAGTAGAGACTTACCACAGTCCAAGGACTGGATGTTTGACATGGAGGCGTCGACGCTCGTTTTAATTTAACAAAGCTGACGCTTTTATAAACGACAGTCCACGTGAACAATTACGTCCGAGCTTCGTACGTTACTTTTTGGCGCCAAAATAATGCTGAAATATAAAGGGGGCGTGGCGTGAGCGAGGGCGCGACTGGAGGACCTTGACGTCGCGACTGGATCTAGGCTGAATTAAGCGCCGACAAAACATAGCAAAAACTTTTTATATACAGTCTATGAGCAAAACATATATCTTTAAACGGAAACGGCGGTGCCTTGAACACACAGATGTGTACGCAAGCGCGGCAGATTTTTACTGCATTTTTTACTGCACTAGGGCTGTATTTGAAACCGCCTATTATACTAGTAGTACATGCTGATTCAAAAACAAATCTATATTTTTCCAGAATTGGTTTAACAATAATATTCTTTTTGTAAAACAGTTATTCAACTCATTAGGTTTTCTAATGAACTATTCTGAATTTTTGTCTTGCTGTAACTGTCACTCCGAAAGAGTTTGCTGTTGTAATGGACACCATTCCCAAAGGTGTGATGATGTTATTTAAGGGTAACACTGAACCGGTTCTTTCTACCGGTATGTTGTCATTAAATGACACTATGATAGGAAAAATACGTTGTTTTTCCAGCCCTTCAGTCGGGAACAGAATGAATAGGTCTCTATGTCTGAAAGATTTTGTCACCATCCCATATGTAATCCATTACTGGGGAAGATTTTTTTCAAATATCAAGTGGAAAAAGTTTTGGACCATACCCTCAAAATACTTGATCAGAAATAAACCTTAACAGACCTTAAATCTGTTTCAAACTTCTCCATCGATGCTACCCAACAAAACATTATTTGTAAAGACTAAGAAATGACATTGACATTAACTGCTCTTTCTGTGGACTTCATTGTGAAACAACCATACACTTATGGACACACTTTGGAGCTGTCCTTGTACTGTTATTTTTTGGAGAGACTTTGCACAATATATCAGCTGTAACATTTCTGCCCATTTTTCTCTGCTGTACAAAGATGTGCTGTTTGGTTTTTATGATGTCTGCACTTGCAACAATACATACAAACTATTCAGCACTCTTCAAACCCCAAAGCCTTAAAGACTCTCGATATATGTAAACTTCTTAATTGCTTGAACTGCTGATTATTTTCTTTATTTTTAATTTATTTTATTTATATGTTAACCCCTAGTCTATGTTTGCACTTTATACTTGCATTTGAGCAATAAAGAACTTATAAATTTTAAAAAGGTACGTGCTGATTTGGCCTAGACGATACCCGGATGGCGTACTGATTAGGGAAAATCCATAGAAAAATCGCGTCCTGTTTCCCATAATGCAATGCGCTAGAACTGTAACAATGTCTATGGTAACAACAACCGGTCTTCTCTTTAGAAGACAACAGCCGAAGTTGTTTTACAGCCCGCGGCATTAGCTAATGAGCCAGGCCAGTCAGCTCACCGAGCCCCCTGGTTCAACAGCCACACAGACCGCTGCAGCCAACGCAGAAGAAGAGTCCAGCAACAACGTGAGAGGATAGACCCGCAGCTGTGAGGCAGTTTAAATGGTCGTACCAGTGTCTTTATATTCTGAGTGATGTTTTAATCAAGAAACATCTGGCTCCTGATGGACAGGCTGGTATAACTTAGAAGCACTTTGAAATAAATAAACAACAGAAGTAGTTTGAAAGGCGAGCTTTATTATTATCATAAATAGACATTACATTGTTAGTGTAATGTTACAGTTGTGATTACAGTAGGCTACTTGCTTTTTATTTGCTTTTATTTCATATCATTCTTATTTATGCACCAATATACCAAAGCAAACATCTGCTACAGATCGCCCTTGCTCTCTTTACATAAGATAAAAGAAAAAAAAAGTTTTTAGTGGTACGTAAATTCATATTCCTCTTATTGTTTTGATTGTCGAACATGTGGTTGTCAAGCGCTCACCTAAATGATTACGTCCTCCATCTCAGTCAACTTCTCAGCGGGGCATTTCTCATCAGACATCAGCTTTTTAAGTGAGCTGTGAGGAAACAAACACCTCATTTAGTCTGTTTACGTGTTTAGCTTGACATCTTGATTAGACAAACACTTTTAATCACTCAAGTCTTTATTATGACATTAGTTTGCTGTGCAGAAGCTTGTTTTGTTTTGCCTGAAACTGTCATATGGTCTGAAAATGTCAGGTAAACCATAACGATTCCCCATCAAATACAGTTCCTGACATAGACAACACAAAGCTAAAACTTCACATATTTATGAGGCTTTGGGC